CCGGTGGCGGCCATGCAGTCAATGAGGACAACAACCAGTCCAAGACAGACAATGGCCATCAGGACCAGAGCCACACCACCGCCAGTAGCGGCACCACAACCACTACCACCTCCTCCTCGGCCAACACCAGCACCACATCCAACACATTGCTCGACAGAGTGACCAGTTTTAGGCGATCTCTGGGAAAGGCTCAGAACAAGAAGAAGATTAGGTATTGTTTTGTTGGCCACAAGAAAGACCTACTCTTCTTAGATGAGAAACCCTTTGTTTTGCTTGATTTTGTGGCAAAACTTTTGTTTTCTCAACACTTTTTTCCTTATCAATGCATTCAATCAATTGGTTTAGTGTTTAATGTGTTTTCAATGTCTGATTATTTGCCAATCAATTAGTTGTTATGATTACATAGTTGTATGTCTTTTGTGTTATCATGTAATCCATTGAAACACTAAAAGAGGTAGTGTTTTGGGCCCATAGTCTGCAGGAGTGCTGTTCGTATCCAAAGTCCAGTCAAACAAAACACATGCAATTCAATGGTTGTGTGTTTTGAGTGCCGTTTCAATGGACTTAATGTTAATGTAATTCAATATATGGTTAGGAAAGCCGTGAATGAGTGAGAAGTTGCTATGAGTTTGTCGTAAACCTAAACGTGTGATAGATTTGGCATTCGTTAGTCATATACTACTGATTGCCAACACTTTCAATATAAATATCATACAAATTATATATAATAAAACATGCATTGATTGTATGAATAGTTTATTCATAACAGCATTCCTGGCAATCGCTGTCATAACCATTATTTCATAACTTATTCACACTTTAAACACATATATCTCACTAATATATTAAACAAATTGGTAGTCGGCCTCACGTCTCACTACTAACACTACTATCCGGTCTTAACTATTGATTATGTCATCAATTAATAGTCGATATGAAAATAAAAGTTTATATTTCTATAGATATAAATATATAATATTTAGATTTCTATTCAAATATCAAATATCTTTGAATGGTGTAAATGTATGGGAAAAACTCAAAACTCTTTTGTCAGTATTTGATTAGTGAATAGTTTTTTGTCACTTATCTAAACACAAGAATTTTTCTGTTCACTTGAGTGTTGTTTTTCGTTAGTTTTAGTGCTAAAAGTATTGTTTGATTTTTGCAGTAAAACATTTTCCAGATAAGACTGAAACCCATGTAATAAATGCCTATTTATTGTAATAATGTATTGTTGTGTTTAAGTAATGGTTATGTATTACACATACGAGTGTCTAATGGCATACAATTATACGAATATAAACAATATTTTGTATGCATTAACAAATAGTTTATTCATAACAGCATTCCTGGCAATCGCTGTCATAACCATTATTTCATAACTTATTCACACTTTAAACACATATATCTCACTAATATATTAAACAAATTGGTAGTCGGCCTCACGTCTCACAAAATGCAAACACTACTAACACTTCTATCCGGTCTTAACTATTGATTATGTCATCAATTAATAGTCGATATGAAAATAAAAGTTTATATTTCCATAGATATAAATATATAATATTTAGATTTCTATTCAAATATCAAATATCTTTGAATGGTGTGAATGTATGGGAAAAACTCGAAACTCTTTTGTCAGTATTTGATAAGTGAATAGTTTTTTGTCACTTATCTAAACACAAGAATTTTTCTGTTCACTTGAGTGTTGTTTTTCGTTATAGTTTTAGTGCTAAAAGTATTGTTTGATTTTTGCAGTAAAACATATTCCAGATAAGACTGAAACCTATGTAATAAATGCCTATTTATTGTAATAATGTATTGTTGTGTTTAAGTAATGGTTATGTATTACACATACGAGTGTCTAATGGCATACAATTATACGAATATAAACAATATTTTGTATGCATTAACAAAAAGCTGAATATCGGCTATTATTTCGTAAATTACTTCTCTCTTTCATTCAATGGGATGTTATTCTCTCGCTTTGCAAATGATTATTGTATTACATATTATTTACTTATCATTTGTGTCTAAACTCTTTTTTGATATACATTTTTGGCTAAATTATATTCATATAAATTGTATGTTTAGCTCAGCTCTCAATGCAAACAATGGGCACAAGTTTTTGTTTCCCAGATGTAGGACAATGAGAAAGTAGTGCAAAACCATTGAACACAACAACACTTGCAATTGAATGCATTTTTTATCCATCAGTTCTGGACTATGAAAACGAGCCCTCTCTCTCTCTCTCTCTCTCTCTCTCTCTCTCTCTCAATCTGAACATTAATCTTTATGCCTATCATTTGTGTACAATTGTCTTGATATGCCTCTAATTATAGGTCAGCGTCTGTTAAAGGACTAACGAGTGGTGCAGCTGTTGAACAGCAAAGCATTGCTAAAAGCAAGAATAGTCCGGTCCGTAAGGGATCGTCACCGACGACAACATCAGTGGTTACAACCAGTGGTGGTGTCTCTGCTATCAGTGCCAACTGCGATGACGACGAGATTTACGGCTTTACGAGCGCTAACTTTGGTTTGTATTTTTTTCATTGAATAAAAACTCATTTTATAAAACTTTTACAACTTTCAAAACTATATATTTTTTGAGTCCAAAACAAAACATGATTTTTATTGAAATTGTTACTCAAATGATATGAAATAATAAATAAAAAGGAGTCATATTTGTCACTGATTTGCTTATCTAATTAATTACTTTGCGTTTAAATATCAAAACTAAAATTAATTGATTTTTATTTCCTTCTTATTCCTTAACCATTCTCTCTCTCTCTCTCTCTCTCTCTCTCTCTC